GAAAAATACATCGTTTTATGAATCAATATTTGTTTATGGCCGGGTTTGGGTGGATCATTATGCCCCGACCCGATCTAACCCGGCCCATTATCAGGTCTGTTATATAATATATATAACGGTATCAAATTGGGCCAGGCCCAGTACAAAAGTCTGTTAATTGATTTAGTTATATATTAAATATATAAACGATAGTTAATGTATGTATATGTATATGTATATATTAAATAATTAAGATTAAATTATTAGTAATAATTTAAAACAAACACAAAATAATGGGTTAATTACGAACGGTTATATATACAATGTGTGTAATTATAATTATGTCTAAAAAATAAATATTTATAAATAAATGAAAAATTTGGGTGGGCTCCACAGTTTCTGGAATTTTCATGTGACGTACACGATGCAACCGACAGTTCGTAGAACATCCATATACGTTTGTTCTTTTATTGAAATTTTACGGCCTTGTTTGGTTCCCGAGAAAATTATTCCCCAAAACGGTGAGAATCTTGCGGAATTTGGACCGTGCGATTATAATATTATAATAATTAAAATTATTACGCTCGATTTAAAAATTAAAAATTTAAATATATTAATAAATTGAATTTTATTATAATAAATTTAAATTAAAAAAATATTTTATAATATATTTAATATTAATTTAATTTACGCACATTTTTTAAATAAAAAATTATATATTTATTTATAGTGTCAAAATTAAAGATTCATACTTTATAATAAACAAATGATAGTCATTATAATTAATTAATAAATTCAAAAGTCAATTCAATTGTCACGATCTTAATAGTGTAATGAGTTTATATTATACTTTTTAGGGTTTAGTGAGTTATAAAACAATATATATATATATAACATCAATTCCACCAAACCCAAATCTTGAGCCCTAAAAACATGAACATTTAAGAACTTTTTTGTGTGAATGTGGACAATTAAGAAGTCATTTGAAAGAGACCAGCATTGTTATTGCTCCCTGGCATTTCGAAGATTTATTTTTTATATAGAAAAAAAATTTATTAATAATTTTTAAATTACGGGATTAATATTTTTATTTTTTTTTTATAAAAAGTTGTGAATTTGAATCAGACTGTTATAATTACGCGTACTATTTATTTATAATATTTTTGAATTTTATTTTTTAAAAATTTTCAAATAGTAAATATCAAGACAAGATTTGGTTACTAGATAAGGAGATGGACCATTTACTCTCTCCCTCTTCCTCTCTCTCTCTCTCTCTCTCTCTCTCTGTCTCTCTCTGCTAATGTTGGAGGTTGGAGAGGAAACTTATACAATAACTCTCTACAGTAGAAGGCAAGACCAACCAATGGGCCACACTTGGAAACTTTTCTGAGGTTTTCATTTTCTAACTTTTAGCAACCTAAGAAGAAGAAAAGAAGAAGAAGAAAAGCATTCAATCATCTGGCAAATCCTGATTATTCAAATCTCAGATTGAACAGAAAATCAGATCCCAAAAGGCTGCAATTATCTCCAAAACCAGCACCAAATGATGGGGGGTAAAGAGAATGGAAAAGTTCCCAGCTTTCCTATAATAGAAAATTTTAAAAAGAAAAATAGTAATTACATTGGTAAGACAAAAATAGAGAAGTTCCCAAAGGACAAAACTGTATGAAGATGCCAATTAATGGAGGTAAGAGTGTAGATTACAGTGAATGAATAGGTGGGAAGTAAAGAAGGCCCAGGATAACCACAACTACTGCCAGGAGGTTCAGGGGTTCCTTGGAGTAGCATTAAAGACACTGGGGAAATTAGATGTTGTGTACAATATATCTATCACCCACACCACCCAAGGGTAAATGTTTGTTTTCCAAGAAAATGCAAGGAAATTAAAATTGGAGGATGAAAGGTTTATAAAAGAAAGAAAGTTAGATTCAGTGGTTTGATGATATTTGGGCGAAAGAAGTATGGATTATTATGGGAATCAGATTTTCCTCATGGTCTTCTTCTTCATCATCATATCATTTCAAAGCTGCTGCCCCCACATTTTGGTTAATGCTCATGGGTCTGCTTTGGATGGTTCTGGGTATTTCAAGGTTCATGGCTTGGGGCTGGAGCAGACTTTCGTGGAGGAAAATGGTGATTTTGATCAAAAACAAGTTGAGAAAGTTTCAGGAGATGATCAAAACGAGCAGAAGGAAGCTTTGATTCTGCAAAAGTTCAGAGCTTTACTTGGCTTAAAGCGTTTCAGCAGAGCAAAAGATGGTTCTCACTCTAGTTCTCCATTGCCCACCATTGAAGTTGAGACTCCAGCTCTAGCTCCAGCTCCAGCTCCAGCTCCAGTTCCACTTCCCTCTCCAGCTCCGGTTCTTCATCCTCCATTGTTTCCAATCCACAAGCATTCTCATCGTTCACCTAGTCGGCCAAGCTCTCCACCTCCACATCATATGATCCACAAAGCACAGACAGATAAAGGCAGAGTTGAAAGAGTTCTGGTACCTGTCTTGTTCTCCGCAGGAGCTTTTTTTGTCGTCTGTGTCCTTGGGCTCATCTGTGCTTGTGGGAAAATCAAGAAACATAGACAGAAATCTGAAAGGACAATGCGGGTGAAGAAAGGAAAGAGCAAAGCTAGATCCAAGCTCAATGCCAATTCTTTAAGTCCTGCAAAGGATCATTTCTACCTAAATTCATCAGCAGTGGATTTAGAGCAGCAAAGTTCTTGTGTTAAACAGAGTGGTGAAGCTGTAAATATGTCAACAAATCACAACAGTGAGAATCAGCAAGAACTGGATAACAAATCAGAATCAGAGAATGCTAGTAGTTCTTCCACCAGGGAAATCATGTCTGTTCATGATGATGCAGAGTTTGTAAGATATGAATCTGATGCTGGTGAATCATCTGGTGATAAAATCATTCCCATCGAATGCCATTCATCAGAAGATGAATCTTTTCACTCTTTTGGTGATTCAAATTCCTCAAATCCCAGATTCTCTAATGCATCTGCTGCTAGTCTTAATGATGCAGCCGGAAATTTTCCCTTGAATGTGCCTTCTCATTTGCCTTCTTCCACAAATTTAACTACTTTACCATCTGTACCAGATCAGAATGAGGTCCTCCAATCTCCCTGTAAAGCTGTGCAGGAGGAGAAATTAATAATACCGTCTTCTTCTGATTGCCGCGGGAAATTCGTACTTCCCCCTCTTCCTCCCCCTACACCTCCACCTCCTCCTCCACCTCCACCTCCAAGGGTGATTGCTTCTCCTGCATTTTCTTCATCTTCTTCGCCTGCATTCCCAGTGAGAGCTTCAAGTTCCTCCCCGTTGCCAAAATTATCGCCTTCGAAGGATCTATATATATCGTCAGAATCAAAGCAAAATCTGCAGGTTGATTTGCTTGCTACCCAGACTCTGCCACCGGGTGTTCCTCCTCCACCATGTCCTCCTCCATTTATGAAGACGAACGACAGCATCTCTGCCAAAGGCCCACCTCCTCCTCCATGTCAACTTCCTCTATACACGCCACTGGGTAAAGATGGAGCCCCACTACCAAAATTGAAGCCACTCCATTGGGACAAAGTCAGAGCTGCACCAGATCGTTCCATGGTGTGGGACAAACTCAGATCAAGCTCATTCGAGTAAGTCCTTTTGAATTCTTCATGTACTAATTAATTCTCGTTTCAAAATCAAACAAGTTCTGAACATTTGACAGATTGGATGAAGAAATGATTGAGTCGCTCTTTGGATACAACATTCAAACTTCAATGAAGAATGAAGAAACCAAAAGCAAAACACCCTCCCCAAGCAAGCATGTTCTTGAACCCAAAAGACTGCAGAACATTACCATTCTCTCAAAAGCATTGAATGTATCTGCTGAGCAAGTATGTGATGCACTAATGAAAGGTAAAACCTCCTGTTTGTTCCGCATCCTTTCAGCACAAACCAAGCAAAGACACAGATTAAACAAGTGTAAAATTCTTGCCAAACTCTGTTTAATTGCAGGAGATGGCTTGTCTTTACAGCAACTAGAAGCTTTGGTGAAGATGGTACCCACCAAAGAAGAAGAATCCAAGTTATCTAGCTATAAAGGAGACATCAATGAACTGGGTTCTGCAGAAAAGTTCGTTAAGACAATTCTTCGAATACCTTTCGCCTTTCTTCGAGTTGAAGCTATGCTTTACAGAGAAACCTTTGAAGATGAGGTTCTTCATCTCAGAAACTCCTTTTCAATGCTTGAGGTACTTCACTGCCTAATACTCTCATAAGAATCAAACTAAAAATCATGATAAATTCCATTGAAGAATTCAATAAGTTCCATTGACGATAATGATCTTCCTCGTTTCTCTGCTCCACTAGGAAGCCTGTAAGGAGCTGAGATCAAGCAGACTGTTCTTAAAATTGCTTGAAGCTGTACTCAAAACCGGCAACCGGATGAATGTTGGAACAATCCGAGGGGGTGCTCGGGCATTCAAGCTGGATGCTCTCCTTAAACTATCCGATGTAAAAGGAACAGACGGGAAGACAACTTTACTTCACTTCGTAGTCCAAGAAATCATCCGGTCGGAAGGAATCCGAGTATCCAACAGCATCATGGGCAAAATCAATCAGAGAAACAAATCCAAAACTGTCGAAGAAAGGGAAGAGGATTACAGAAGAATGGGCCTAGACCTTGTCTCAGGCTTAACCACTGAACTCTACAACGTCAAGAAGACAGCCACCATTGACCTTGACGTTCTTGCAAGCTCAGTCTCAAACCTCTCAGAAGGAAAATCTAAACTGCAAAACCTCGCTATCCAAAACCTGTCTGCCGACGAGAAAAACGAAAGGTTCGTCGAAACGATGAAGTCCTTTCTGGGTTATGCAGAGAAGAAGCTGAAGGAGCTTCGAGAGGACGAAAACTGTGTCCTGTTACACGTTAGAGAGATAACCGAGTACTTCCATGGCGATGTGGGGAAAGAAGATGGAAACCCACTTCGGATTTTTGTGATTGTGAGAGATTTTCTGGGCATGCTTGATCATGTCTGTAAAGAATTAAGAAGCCTGAAAATGCCAAGTATTCCAAATCCTTTAGCTCCATTCCGGTAGGTGATCAGATTAGAGATAGATTGTAATTTTTCTCGGTGTGTTCATATGAGATACTGTTCCCTTGCCACGAATCAAGAATGTAATTCTTGTGCAGTAATTTGCTTTTTCTTGTTCTAGATTGAGATTGTTTCTTGTTGTTTGGTTTAATTCTTTTTTTTTCACTTTAGGTAGTAGGCTAATGTTATAAATTCTTGGAAATGGATTGACAATTCTGATTTGTGTTAGTTTTGTTTGTGTGATAACAATGATTAAATTTTGCTTATAGAGAAGTATCGCAAGAACACGAGCCAATTACAATTTTATCAGATGTATTTTTCTTCATACTTCAATATCATAACTTAGAGACAAATTCTTCGAAATTCAGGTAAATGTAATATTTTTTTTTAAAATATTAACAATTTCACATTTGATAAAAAATTTTATCTGAAAAATTATAACGCTCCAAACTCAAAACTTAAATCTCACGGACATGCAAGAATCACTAATCTGATAAGCTCAAACGGATCATATTCTAAAGTTTCTTTGTACACGAGTCTCTTGTTCAGAATTTGAAAAAAAAATATAATATTTTATGAACTCAAGAGTCCGTAAATAATCAATACTTTATAGTTAATTGTTGCTAATGGATTTTTCTCCATCTTCCGAATTTTCTTGTGCTGGATGTAATACCCTAGAGTCTTGAAATCGAGACTGGGCGGGGTGATGACAAAATGATTCCGAGGAACACTCTAATTCCAAGTAAGAAATCTCAAGTTTTTTACAACATATCAAGATCAGCCATCCACAGTTACCATAAAGGTATATATATCTATCTACCTTGCAAGAAAGGATGGTATTGGTATTACGTACCAGAAAATGAATTGAAGCATTCTGCAAATATATCAGTACTAAGATTTCCTCCTTCCTAAAACATTAGGTCTATGAAGGTGAAAGAGCCGACAAAAGATTGCAATGAGCTTGGAAGCTTTGGTATATCTGGGATTCCACCAGCTCCAAGGTAAGTGAGGGGGAGATTGATGCCAGAGACAAGCTCGAAAGCTATATATATAAAATGAGAAGCACCATTGATGACAGAGACAAGCTCGGTAACAAGATTGATAAGGATGATGAGGAGAAGAATGAGAAGGCTCCCAAAGAAGCTCTTGAATGGTTAGATGATAACCAGAATGCTGAGAAGGAAGATTTTGAAGAGAAAATGAAAGAGATAGAAGCAGTGGCTCATCCACTCATTAGAGAACCTTGCCAACACTCAGCTGATTCTGATGGAACAGAAGAACCCCATGATGAATTGTAGAGTTGCAAACATGGGGTTTTCCTTTTTTTTCCTTTTCCATTCTAATCTTTTGTTGAGACTTCTTAGATTTCTTTTATTGTCTTCACTCTTCACATAAAAGGAAGTAAATTTCAGCATCCTTAATTTAATAACAGATTTTGATATGTCTGGCATTCTTATATCTAAGTTCTCAGATAATTTACTCAAACGGTTGGAAATGATGAACAGTGTATGAATAAAATTATCCATGGAAGCTCAAATTTTTATTTCTTACAACAAACACAGATCGATTAATGCAGGACTGCAAAAACCAATTAACAGTTTCTTAACAATCAACGTAAAAAATCGGAAGTTAATCCAAGTCCTTGACAATCTTAATCCCCATAGAATTAGCAGTACCAATTATAGACTTGCAAATAGACTCCAACGACATGTACTGACAGTATGGATCCGATTGCTTAACCTTCGCGATCTCGTAGACGTGCCGGATCGACAACGTGGAGGCCACCACGTGGCCGGGACGGCTGCTGCCGGAGTCGATCCCTGCCGCCTTCTTCAGGTACCAAGTAACGGACGGCGACCTCACCGTGAACTCAAAGGTGTTGTCTTTAAACGCCGTTATCGTCACCGCCATTGGCATATCGGGCTTGTACTTCTGGGTCCGAGCGTTGAAGTCCTTGCAAAACGCCATCAGGTTCAGCCGGTACTGACCCAGAGCTGGACCGACTGGGGGAGCTGGACGTGCTCCTCCGGCTGGGACCGTTAGTCTTATTGTCGCCGACACCGGCCGGCGAGTCAGAATCTCTTTCAGAGTCGACATGTCGATTGCTAATCTTGCAGGAGAAGGGTTTTGAGCAGGGTTTTGTTTTGTTGAAATGGGCCGTGGTATGGGTCCAAAAAAACTGAGTTCGGCCCATTTCTTCGATTCTTTTCCCTGCAAAAATTCAAGAAATTCCGGCTTTAAAACCGCAATGGCGCGTTTTGAGGGGCAGAAAATAAGATTTGAGGCGCGCTTGAGCTTGCATCTCCAGAGAAATCGTAATTCATTGCCTTCTTCTCCATGAAATTTAATCTATGGTTAGTATCCCTTCACCTTCTATATAACGATAGAATGTGCTCTTTTGATTGTATATACTGTTTATAAATCTGCTGGATTGAGTAAATAATTCAATTTATCTTCTTACTGATTTGATGAGATAGCTTCTTGGACGAGACACTTATGCTATTCTTCTTTCTCTGGGCTTTTCATCGAGAACATAACTAGGAGAAATAAGCATCTTATACAGCTTATATACAGCGGTTTCCATTGAAAATTGTCAGAGAGGAAGCAACCGCCCTTTTGATGATTAATTGTTTTCCAATTTGAAGCTAAAGAAATTAAAAAGAGAGATGTCCTTTTTGTATTTCTGTTTTCATCTTTTTTCCGTTCTTAATTCTGTATTGAATTAATGGGAGGGCAGAGCTCTGTTAAGTTGCTGGTTAATTGAATGTGGAACTAGATATTAAGACTATGATTGAAACAAATAAATTTTTTCATTCTCAAATTTATACTTAGTTAACTATGAGAGGGTGAAGGGTGAAGGGTGAAGATCCTTTAAGATCGAAATTTACTGTTTTGTGAGGAATCTCCAGCCTCTCGTGGCAAGAGTGAATCTTCTACATAATTATGCAAATAAAAATTCATTTAGTGCAATTGTAGCGTAAAACAAAATCTATCCAGGAAACATTGACAAAAAGCTGTAGTTGAACAACTTGATGGTTTAGTTGAAGCAAATATTGTTACTGAATCATAATTTGTTTGTTACTGATTTCTAGGAATTCTTTTGTTATCAATGTCCATTTGTCTCATGTTTTCTCCATTTAATGGCTTAGAATTTTAATAACTTACAACACCTACTTGGTTAAGGCAAAATGGCATTCAAGTGTTATGCATGGGAACCACTGAGTAGCTTCACGTACGGGAGTTCCCATAACTGTCTTCTAAGTTTTTATGAATAAAAATGCCATTTCTAACAGAGGGAATTAAACAGACTAGTGTTGAAGAAGTTTGAAAGCTACTCGTGTAGAACGGATATGCAGCTTCTGGCCACTATTTTAACTTGTCCAGGTTGGTTTTGTTTATGCTGAATCCTTGACAGTTTCAGCAATAATGGGTGGTAATATCTTATCTTCACAACAAGTTATTGATAAGCTGGTCAAGATGGGATTTAACGATTCAGATGTCATGGAGGCCGTGAGAGCAGTAGGTCCATCGTGTGATGATGCTGTTGAGTACATACTGAATGGTTGTGGTAGGAAAATTCAGGTTGAGCCAAGTAGTTCCAACTGTTCGACAAGAGGCAAGAAGATCCTGGGGAAACGAGTTTTGTCATCCTCATGTTCTTTGGGTCAAATGCGACAGTCTAGCATATTGGATCACTACCATTCTGCACTTAGGCCAAAGAAAAGCAGAGCTGATGTTATTCCTGTTGTGTCAGTTTCTCAGGCAGAGGATCCTCATCTGCCAAGAGAACTAAAAGAACCTTTCCCTGGCATTGACTGTGACTCCAAAGTTGTGCCCGAATTGTTGCCTTCTGGCTGCCCTCAGGAAGTGGACACTGGATCAGACTGGGAGCAAAAAGTTAATAGACTACTAAGGAAGCATTTTGGTTATTCATCATTGAAGTGTTTCCAGAAGGAGGCATTGTCAACTTGGCTAGCTCACAAAGACTGCCTAGTCCTTGCTGCAACTGGATCTGGTATGGTCTTGTGATTCACTTATGTCTTGTATCTATCTCAGTTCTTGTTCCTGGATGGTTTACAGTCATTTAGATGCAATTGCCTTTCTTCAGGGAAATCTCTATGCTTTCAGATTCCAGCACTGTTAACCGGGGAGGTGGTTGTTGTCATTTCCCCCCTGATAAGCTTAATGCATGACCAGTGCTTGAAACTATCAAAACATGGAGTCTCTGCTTGCTTTCTGGGATCTGGGCAACCTGATAGCAGTGTGGAAAAGAAAGCAATGAAAGGCATGTATAACATAATATATGTTTGTCCAGAGACAGTCATACGGTGAGAGACATGAGTACAATTGGTTGGTGCTTCAAATATCCTGTTTTCCTCTTTCCTCTCTCCTCTCCCTGCTCTTCATTTTTGTTTCTTGTTTGTGTTTTCTCATTAAACTCATCTGCAGACTGGTAAAACCACTCCAGGGACTCGCAGAAAGTCATGGAATCGCTTTATTTGCAATTGACGAAGTACATTGTGTGTCTAAGTGGGGCCATGATTTTCGGCCTGATTATAGGTGCATTTTGCTTATGACCCATTTGACTTTTTCTATCTTCTGGATGCATATTTTGTCAACCCGAGAACTGACTCAAGAACTGTAGATGGTTGCTTATGAATTAATGTTTTAATGTCATTATGGTTAGATAAGTCTACATGTAGGCCAAACTATTATAGTAACTTAGTATGCCTGTGAATCACACAAAGGGAAAACGTCAGAGATCATGACGATATCATTTAAAACTTTTCTACTTCTGTGACATTGGTTACAGTTGATGATCATTTAGCAGCCTTACTTCATGCCTTTGAAGTTAATAACCTGCATCTTTAATTTGATAACTAGAGTTGTAAGAATTTGCCTTAATTTTGTTCATTGATCAGGCGGTTGTCTTTGTTGCGGGAGAACTTCAGTGCTAACAATTTGAAATTCTTAAAATTTGATATACCACTAATGGCATTGACTGCTACTGCAACAATTCGTGTTCGAGAAGACATTCTCAAATCACTCTGCATGTCAAAGGAAACAAAAATTGTGCTCACATCATTTTTTCGGCCAAATTTACGATTTTCAGTAAGTTATTTTCTTTCATATTTTGCATGACTGTTGCTTCGTGCACTTTTACAAGTATACCTAAACCTGAATTGGCGTGTTGCTATTTACAGTTAAAACATAGTAGAACATCATCATCATCTTCATATCGGGAAGATTTCCAGCAGTTGATAGACATATATGGCAAAAAGAAGAAGACCAACTGGATGAAACAAACCACCTTGATGAAACAAACCAGAAGCCCACAGGAAGTAGAAGAACAATCTGATAGTTCTTTTGGTAGTGTATCTGCATCAGATGATGATGATGAAGTAAAGTCGATAGAGGAACATGTGTCAACTGCTTCAAGAGGACGAGAAATGACTGTCGAATATTTGGAAAGTGAAGCTGACATCTTCCAAAATGCAGATGATTGGGATGGTACAGATCTTCTACTTGGAGATAGATTTTGTACACTCTGTTTGCTAAAAGAGGATGTCATTATATAGTTGTCATACATCAATAAACTTCAATTCTTTATCATTGCATTTTTAGTTATTTTTTAATGGGTTTCATCTTTACAGTTGCCTGTGGTGAATTTTGTGGACAATTTCTTTCTCAAGACTGGAATTTGTGTGGATCATTCAGGACAGTGGATCAATTGTATAAGCCTGAAGAAGGGCTGAGACTCCAGCAGGAGCCTTTAGAAGGACCTACCATCATATATGTTCCTACAAGAAAAGAAACCATAAGTATCGCAAAGTTTCTCTCTAAATGTGGTGTTAAAGCTGCTGCTTATAATGCATCGGTATATATTGCGTAAAATGCCTTAAGGTTATGTAGATTCTTGAAATTTTTTATATATTGTCGGAATTGTGATATCTGCATATAGCTCCTTGTAGTTAAAGCTTTTCCTTATAATCAATATTGCTAGTGCAGCGTTACTGTTAGTAGCATAGTATTTTCCCTTCTAATGCTCAATACTTTTCCTTGTAGTTAGATATCGTTTATCATGTCACACAATCCCTGCTAATGCTCAATGCTTCTCTCTTAACTCCCATGCAACTAATACTAATAGATGACATTTTTTCTCAGTTGTCTAAGTCACACCTAAGGCGGGTTCACAAGGAATTTCATGAAGACATGCTAGAGGTATCAGAAATGCCTTACCTCTGTTTCTACTGGAATTCTCTCGGCAAAGCTGCTCCTGGTTGATGAAAATTGTGGTCTCCACCTTCTTATATGTTTATATCACGTCTTTGTCATGTAGCCTTCAATATTTTCCATGCAAAAAGTCAAATACTATTTACATATTGCTAGTGTCCGCAATGTACTTATTTTTCAAACATGTTAATTACAGGCAGGTCTTTGTACTTTATATTTTTAACCAGAAAATAAAATATATAAAAGGAATCTACAGGTTGAAGTTATATCTGGATCAGAAGGGAAAATGTACTTATTTTAATTTTTTCTCAGGACATGATTAGGATTCTTGTTTTACTTGCAAGAAGTTTTACAAACCTATCAACTCAGCAGTTGCTTCCTCACCTCCAGGTTGTTGTTGCCACTATTGCGTTTGGGATGGGGATTGACAAGTTAAACGTCCGCAGAATTGTCCACTATGGTTGGCCACAGGTCTTACTTTTGGACTCTGTGTTGTCGCACTTGCACTGTTTACTCAACTTTGTAGATGTTAATGCTACTAAGTACTTACGGTTGAGAAAATTCTTGCTGTACTTTTGTTTACTTAACTAACAGGGATCAAGAGTTCTTCTCTCTATCCCTAAATCCTTACGTATCCATTTCAGTATTATACTCTGTTGCTTAACTTAATTTTAATTGTTATCTAAGAGTTTGGAAGCTTATTATCAAGAAGCTGGCCGAGCTGGACGGGACGGGAAGTTGGCTGATTGTAGTAAGTTCCTTATGATTTCAGAATGTCGTTCAAATTAAATTCCAATCAATAGACAATACTTCCTAATTTATTGTAACCACTATCTCTTAATAAATATTTTCTGCACAAGTGCATGTTAGGTCTTTTTTTTTTTTTTGAGTTGTGGTGGAGGATAGAGGTTACACTCGGGTAGTCAATTCTAGAATGAGAGTATTATACTATGCTAGTTATACATGTTTTATTCTTTAAGGTTGTTCTTTTATTAATGCTTTATTCTTTAACTTGTATTTCTTTTGGCTTACCTGAGCAGTACTTTATGCCAACTTATCCAGAGTACCAACACTTTTGCCAAGCCGTAGAAGTGAAGATCAGACAAAACAAGCATATAAGATGTTATCTGACTGCTTCAGGTTTATTGAACATTTCACTTGTGCACTTCTCCGTCGTTGCCCTCTTGCCATCTTGACACTTTTTTTCTTTGTAGATATGGAATGAATACTGCATGTTGTCGAGCAAAAATGCTAGTGGAGTACTTTGGAGAAGATTTCAGTTACGAAAAGTGTCACATGTAAGGAAAGTTCTTTTCATTTTAGATTACCTGTGGAAAGATACCAGTGTCTGGGACAACGCATCTCCTGTATAAATAGCTCTCTTATCCCCTTGCCAATAATGTGCTAAATAGTATCATCTCTATCAACATGTTTTTCTGGACATTGTTATTTAATGAAGCCTTTCTTCTTCAGATGTGATGTTTGTGTTGATGGGCCACCTGAATTGGAAAATCTGAGAGAGGAAGCAAATATTCTAATGCAAGTTATTGCTTCTTGTTATGTAAGTTTTATGTTCATTCAATACGGCTTCAATCTTTCGGAAAAGGTTTTAAAGCATTAGCAACATTTTCTTTAAACTGTCAAATAGTCTATTAGTAGTACCATCTAGTAGATAGGCTCATTCTTGGTTATCCTTGCTTTTCTTGGCACCTAGTTTTCAGATGTTAGCATCATAGTCGGTATCAATTGCATAGTACTTGCATATTTCGGAGGTTTTGTGTAATTACTAGACATCTGCAGTCACTAGCATGTTGATTCATTTTTTTTCTACATTTCTTTCAAGCTCTTAAGGAGGAATACATAATCTTTCAGGTGCAGAGTACTCTTGTGGATGTGCCATATGACGATTATGGGTGTAGTGATGGTAGAGACTTGAAACCTTTTGAGAAGCCAACCCTCAGGACTTTCGTTAGTAAGATCCGGGAGCAGGTGATACTCTTTTCCTCTGTGTATTTTTCGTGTATGCATTACGGTATTTGGAGTAAGCAACATGGTTTTTACGTGCTGTTTGATGATTATATTCTGCATATAGTCGCAAAAGTTTATGGCAACTGATCTTTTATGGTGGAGAGGCCTTGCTCGGATTATGGAGAATAAAGGTTACATCAAAGAAGGAGACGGAAAGGTAATTAATCAAAATTATACAACATGTTTTTTTGATAACGTTTATGCATTTCAATAATTAGGTGACATTTATACATTAATGATAACACAATCAATTTCTTAACAAGTCCACACACGGTACGTACAGTTTGATTTAAATCCACAGTCTCTAAAAACAAGTTTTAAAAATACATCTTATGCAGATATATGTTCAGATAAAATTCCCCGAGCCAACAGAAGCAGGACTAAATTTTCTGCAATCCGATAAGTGTCAACAACCTTTCTATATCTACCCAGAAGCAGATATGTTGCTTGCAACCAAAAAAGATTATAGTTTCTCTGAATGGGGAAAAGGCTGGGCTGATCCTGAGATTCGTCGTCAACGCCTGCAAACAAGGCGACCGAAAAGGAAGCGAAGAAAAGTACGAGTAAGAAAATCGAGAACTGTTCGAGGCAGAATAGAAGCAAAACTGTCCAAGAAGAAGTGATGAAGATCATGATTTTCATACATAAATGTATTTGGCCAAATATCTTGCTTTGAGTAAAGCAAATCTTTGCCATAAATGTTCATCCAAATTACTCAGGATGTGTGTATGTCGATCAGGATTTACATTAAGTAATAGATTCATAGTAAATTTTGCTTTTCTTCATCTCATTTTGGGGAAGAAGTTGAGTGCTAATTCTTAAATCTTGAACGGTTGCAGTTGTTCTTGAGTTTTGGAATTAATTTCCTTCCTATGTCATAGGAGCGTAGCAGGAAGCGCATCTGGTGTAGTGGTATCATAGTACCCTCCCACGGTACTGACCGGGGTTCGATTCCCCGGATGCGCATCTCCCACCTCTTTATGGTTTTTATTTTTTCAAGTTTTTTGTTTCCATTGATTTAACGAGCCAGTCGAAATGCCGGTCTAACCGGACCGGACCGGACATACCAAAACTGACCCAACGCAGAAAGCAAAGAATCTAAACTCTCTCAAAAAACACCCAGACATCATCTGCATTTCTTCCTTCCATCCTTCTTGTTCTTGAGCAAAAATGAAAATCACCAACGTAGATTACGGCCGCGTAATCTTTGCTCTGATTGGATTTTCTGCGTCCTTCCTCTTTTTGATGCAGAGTTTCAAAAGAAAACGCGCCCAGCAAATCACGACGGACAAACTAAGGCTCGTAAGCGAAGCGTTAGAAGTTGCGGAAGAAAGAGTCGTGAGATTTCAAGAGAGACACGACCATATTCTCGCTCAGATATGCTCTCATTATTTGATCAATCAAGAACTTCAGGATGCTCTGGCCGGTGCCCGGGCAGCCATGAATGAGGCATTGGAGTTCGCCGTTGGATTGAGGAAGATGCAGATGAAGCTTTTAAACTCTTTGTAATATCATTCGCCATCATTTTTGCAGAATTGAATTTTAAATAATTGTAAATAAATATTTAAAATATAATAAATGTATAAATACTTTTAAATGGTTTTATTAATTTTAATAATTAAAAATTAAATTTTATTAAAAAAAATATATTAATTTCCGATATTTTGAAAAATGGGAGTAAGTGACGACCAAAAAATTTCCCCACTTAAATGACTTGGAACATTAATATTTCAGATCGCCAGCGTGTCAAACAATCTAAGGGCTGGCATCAACCGAAACCCAGATTTGGCGAAGATCGTAAAACCCCACCCAGACAATGAGCCATGTGGCGAAATATGAACCGTCGGATTAAAATTTCAGAACACACCCCGTTGGCTAAAAGCTAAAACGTAGGATTGTCAACATGGCACGTTATTCCTATAAACCCCAATTTTCTCTGTCACCATCTTCCTTTCCAAACAGAACAATAACTGCACTCCTCTGCTCGTGTTGCTTTCCCTCCAAGAAAGAGATTTCTGCATTGCATTTCCGCTTCTTATCTTATCAGGTAGTTTTCTAGTTCACCAATGGATTCAGACAAACCAGATAAGACCACCAAGAGAGGAAGAGGAAGGAGTGCCGGAGAGAGAAAGAAGCCGGTTTCGAAGTCGACGAAAGCGGGTCTGCAGTTTCCGGTTGGCCGTGTAGGGCGATATTTGAGGAAGGGACGATATGCCCAGAGATATGGTACTGGGGCCCCAATCTTTCTTGCCGCGGTTCTTGAGTATCTAGCGGCTGAGGTATATTTCCAGATCCGGCATTTCTGCTTTTATTTATCCTTTTATTTTCTTGGTGGGCGATTGGAAGAAAACTATGGGTCGTGGTTTTTGTTTCTTGTTTTCTTTAGCTTTTATCAGAGATCCTTTATTTTCTGGTAACGTGGTTTCTGAAATGCGTTCGCGTTGACTAACAAAGAAGTTAATGTATTCTTCTAATCTTTCTTTAATGGTTCGTTACGTTCTGCAATTTGTTCCGTTATTTCAAATGAGTTTTGTGATTTCGAGGATCCTAAATGTTAATCTTTAAGGGTATCGCTTTCCTTCTCTCCCATATTCTCTCACCACCCAAAACTAAACCCTACATTCTTCTTTCGTGTAAAATCATGGTTTCGTTTTCTTTTTATGTTCAGGTCTTGGAGCTTGCTGGCAACGCAGCTCGCGACAACAAGAAAACGAGGATCAACCCGAGGCACCTTCTCCTCGCAGTGAGAAACGATGAGGAGTTAGGGAAGCTGTTACAGAATGTGACTATTGCGAGCGGCGGCGTCCTGCCTAATATCAACCCGGTCTTGCTGCCCAAGAGAGCTTCCTCTTCTGAAACCGACAAGACTCCCTCTACGTCCAAAACCAAGTCGCCGAAAAAGGCTGATAAGAAATAGACGAAGAAAAATGGATAGATTTACTGTACTTTTTGTTTGGTTTAGTGGAAAATGAAGAGAAAAACTCTTGTATATCTTTTCTATGGAAGTTTCAGTGTTAGCATTTGTTTCTAATGTCGTGCTTTTTTCTTGGGCATTTTGCGTAAGGATTTTTTCTCTCTTTATTTTTTTTTTTAAATAAGATATAATTATAATAATTATAATTTAATTAGTAAATTATTTCTTTGGGCCTAACCGAGACCTGGGCAATTAAACTTTAAGCCGAGCCGAGCCGAGCCGAGCCGACCACATACTCTCTCTGTAAATTAAAAGAGTGTCCGTAGCATTTCATTGAGAACTATAAAATGAAGGGGCTTTGTAGGGTTTTAGGACCAGATTACTACTCGGTCAAATTTGATCTCCCTTGTTTTTTTCCACATCCAGTTGCGATCTACTCATGAGCTATTTTTTGGTAAGCGTAAAACCATTTCTACAGTTCATAATTTGATTGCATTTGGTTTGGTTTATTTGAGAAACGATTTTAATTTGCAGAAAAGAGCGTTGTTATCTTCTCCAAGAAATTCTTCTCTCATCCCGGTCGTAGCTGTTGCTGTCGCGGGATCGGGTCTATTTTATGCTAAGAGCAACCCGGATTCCTGTCAGTTCTAATTTCCAACTCCTGAATTCGGTTGTTAATTCTTTTTCACGTTGTACATTGCTCGCTCTGTTGTTTGAATACTGAGAGTTTATTGATTCCATTGTAATTGCAGTAACCTAGTTGTCCTATCGAGCAAATTTGCTAGTTTCGTCTTCGTTCGTCTTCCACTATATTTTGATTGCTTAGAGGCATTTGACGCTGCTTTGAATTTCTTTTTCACTGCATTTTCTTCGAATTCAAAGAATTGTATGGAGGTTCATTTAACTAATTTTATTTTATTCTAGTCACAAGGGTTTCTCTGTTGATCCCTGCGCCATTTCTTGAATCTCTGCAAGTACCATGGCGAGTCTCACAAGACTTGTTTCAGCCCCCTTCACTTCTGTCATCAGACCCAGCGCAATTAGGTTCGTCCTGTTTCTGATATTTCCTATAAATGCATTTTTTCTTTTCTATAATATGCTTTGTTTTGCTTGTTTCCTTGTGTCACTGTTTTAAATCTCAATTCAAGTATGCAAATGCAGGGAACCTTCCATTATTTTCTTCTAGAGTTAGTCCTACTCCACCCGTGGATGTCCTTGTTGCAGCTGGAGACAACACAAAATCTCATGATCGATATTTAGGCAGAGATTCCTTTGCTAATGCTGCTGCAAGGGTTGGGCCGGCTGTTGTCCATATATCAGTTGCTCAGGGTAAACTAGTATGCTTCTCCGGTTGGGTTTGGGGGGCATGAAGGCAGATTTACTGACCATAACAATCATTTTTATTTTTTTTTCCAGTTGGTCCTTATGGAATTAATGCCGGATCAAATATGGGCTCGGGAACGATTATTGATGCAGATGGTACTATATTGACCTGTGCTCACCTTGTAGTTGGTTCTCATGGCGTACGAGGATTGTCCAAGGGAAAGGTCAGTATCTTTTTAGGGCTTAAGATTTTGTTGTTTGCTATTCTAAGGCAAGAGTTGGAGTTGTGCGCATCACTATTTTTAAGGATTGTTTGTATTTGATGCTGAATCATATATTGACCTGTAATACACTTGGTAAAATGGAGCACTATATTCTTACAACTTTGAGCGTTTATTATCCTGGTATTGTAACTAAAAATGGCTGCTTATGTATATGATGCTATTTAAGAGTTTCAAATTATGTTTACTTGTTAAACTTAGTTAGTAAAGATTTCCTCTGTAAAATGTTAAAGATAAGACTATATGGTATAATCTTTTGGCTTGCCACCAAGCTTGTATTTGCATTTTATATGGTAGTTTTGGAATGGAATGAACTGTTGTAGGTTGATGTTACTTTACAAGATGGTCGGACATTTGAGGCTAAAGTGTTGAATGCTGATTTACATTCTGATATTGCAATTATAAAGATCAATTCCAAAACTCCTCTTCCAACTGCAAAATGTGGTTCTTCAAGCAAGCTTCGTCCTGGTGATTGGGTTATAGCCTTGGGCTGTCCTCTTTCCCTTCAGAACACTGTAACAGCTGGTATTATAAGGTGGTATAAATGCGTTGGTTTGATGCATATATTTTTCCCTTCTATTGGTTTTATTAGAAATACCTAAATGTTAACATACTGATATATGATTTGTTCAGGCCATTTAAGCCAATTATTGTAGGTGTTTTCTGCTATTGATTTTTTACTGTTTTTAATATTTAATAAATATTATAGATCTTTCAAGTTTATAAAATTTTATTATGTGATAAAAGAAGTTTTTTCATTATAGATCCATTATGGTTACTCATGACTCATCATCGATAATTTTTCTCTTTTTTTTTTTTGGTTGGTGTGAATCTAGCTGTGTTGATCGAAAAAGCAGTGATTTGGGCCTTGCTGGAATGCATAGAGAGTACTTGCAAACAGACTGTGCAATCAATCCAGTAATAAGCTCTCTCTCTCTCTCTCACACACACTCATTCACTCTCTTTCTCTCTCTCTCCTGTCCCCTAGATCTGTTTGTATGTGTATTAAATATGGATATTGCAACATTGCATATTACTGCTATTTATAAATTGTATGGAAGGTCTCGTAGTATATAATTCCGAATTTCTTTTTGCTTGGCTATCCCAAAGAGTTGGTACTGTTGCATGTGGATGATTTGTTCTTCCACTCCTTAAGAATTTAAAAACTGTAATTTGCCTCAAATGGATGTCCAAGTTCTCATTCTTTTCTCTCTTTTATAGCGCAGGGAAATTCTGGTGGTCCCCTTGTGAATATTGATGGAGAAATTGTGGGTGTTAATATTATGAAAAGATTAGCTGCAGATGGATTAGGTTTTGCTGTACCAATCGATGCAGTTTCCAAAATCATGGAGCAGTTCAAGAGGAATGGGTATAAATTTTTTTTCCCACATCTAGTACTTTCTTTTTTCCTCAGTAGACAGATCGTGAACCAAAGTGTTGTCTTGGTATTTACTATTCATATATCAGCTGAGTGTGGTGTTTGGTAAGTATCTTTCTTATCTTACTTCCGACAAGGACTTTAGGGGGCACCTCATTGATATTTTGACTGATTGGTAAATTTTTTTGTAATTATGTGGTACTAGTTTAGTGCCTTGTTTAATACAAGCAAATTCCTTTATCCTCTAAAAAAAGAACAAAAAGTTTAGTGTTTCTTAGAAATTTATTCTTGTTTATACTTGATTAGTATGTTTTCATTAGCACATGTACATTATGAAAATAAAAATTAAAAATGTTTTAAGTAGAGTTGAAGTCTTTGAATGTTTTAAGCATTAAGTACATAATAATAGAATGTAATATCTTTATGTTTGCTTTTTCTTTGATGCATTATCTTTGTGTAACTACATATGTTTGATTGAAGTATTGTAGAAGAGTTGTCCGGCCTTGGCTTGGATTGAAAATGGTAGATCTTGATGGCATGATGATTGCCCAGCTCAAAGAAAGAGATGCTTCATTCCCCAATATTGAGAAAGGTGTTCTTGTAGCTATGGTATGCTTTTTTATTATCGTTGTTTTCCATTTGTCGTAGGAACGAATAACATTTCGCCTCGTTAGCAGCATGAATTTTATTTTCGCTTCGATGCATGTGGCTTTAATATTGTGGAAACTTAAAAATATCATGTTCAGCAATTTCCCTTAACTTTAACCAGGTAACTCCAGGGTCCCCTGCTGATCGTGCTGGGTTCCGTCTGCGTGATGTCGTAATTGAATTTGACGGGAAGCCAGTTGAAAGCATCAAGGAGGTATTTCAACGATCATTCTCGAAATCCCTGTGTTCCCGCATGAGTAATTTATGTTGATAAGCTTTGTGTGTAATTGTGGGTGGTAGATCATCAAAATAATGGGTGACAGAACCGGGAAACCCATGAAGGTATTCGTGACAAGAGCTAACAATGATTCAGTAACTTTGACTGTAATTCCAGAGGAAGCCAATCCAGACATGTGAAGGACAATCGTCTTCCTTTCTGCTGTATAAAATTGCAGCTTCTTTGATCACCATGGAAATTTCTGAGTATGCTGCAGATCGTTTGTCAGAAAGTACATTTACTGTCTCCCTGCCGGTAAAAAAGCATCGATTCGCCATGGAATTTTTTTACTGCAGGGTGAAAACTCTTGATCCTTAATTTTTGGTTGACATCTTGATTCTTGTTGGTTATGATATATGGAGATTTTTCCATTGGGATTATTCGTAAAAATATAATTAAAGATTTTACTGCATTTTGGAATGTTTAGAATTGCTATAAATATATATATATATATATACACATGCATATTGATCTCTTGCATAAATTCACACAATCATTCCAATTACAATTACAAATAAAAGAATGAAGAATAAATGATTTTAAGAAATTAATTGTGAACTTCAAAAGCTAAAGACTAATTAAAGCCAATTCAATTTGGAAAGCGACACCGTTTAACCAAAAATATTAAAGACAGCACCGGCCATCTCGGCAACGCTGCCAAAGGTGTCCGCCATGCCGCCAAAGGTGTCAGTCATGGTGCCAACTGTGTCCGCCACACCACCCGTTACCGTATCAGACACGGTGCCAAAAGTGTCCGCCACGCCACCCGTCACTGTCTCAGCCATGGTGCCAAATGTGTCCGCTACGCCGCCAGTCACTGTGTCAGCCACGGTGCTAACGGTGCCATTCACAGTGTCAGCCATGGTACCAACGGTGTCGGCCACGCCGCCACTCACTGTTTCACCGACGCTACTAAAGGTGTTAGTCACATCCGACGCCATGCCGCCGACCATCATTGCGCCGCCCAAACCGGCGGCACCAACTCCCAGACCAATCCCCAGCCCTGCTAGAGGGGCCCCGAGCCCGAACTTCTTCTTCTTCTTCTGGCCGGCTAAACCCTGCTGCAAATGCACGGCCGGGTTTAACCCGTGCTGAACCGGATGTCCCGGGTACATGGGATGCGGCGCAGGCACGTATCCACCGTACCCATTTGGCGCTCCATATTGCCCGTTTGGCGGCGATGGTGGGTAAGCACCTGGCGGGTAGGCGCCTGGTGGGGGTGATGCTGGATAGCCACCCTGTGGGTAGGCAACTGGTGGGGAAGATGCTGGGTAGGCACCTTGTGGCGGGTAAGGACTAGCTTTAGCAGGCGCCGGAATTGGAAGAGAAGGAGGAGGATAACTTACAGGAGGATAACCTGCCGGTAATCCTGAATGAGGAGGAGACTGGTTTGGTGGATAAGCTCCTGGTGAAGGAGGAGAATAATGGTGATGAGGTGGATATGGCGCTCCTGATGGAGGAAGATACTGAGAAGGAGACTGACTAGGTGGGTAAGCTCCTGGTGAGGGAGGTGGAGAATAATGGTGATGAGGATGAGGTGGGTATGGCGCTCCCGAGGAAGGAGAGTAATGATGAGGTGGGTATTGCGCTCCTGCAGATGGCGGAGGAAGATGGTGAGGAGGCTGGTGAGATGGATTTGAAGGAGATCCGTATGGTACGAAACCATATCCGGCCGCGGGCGGTGGATAAGCTGTCACCGGCGCCGGCGCAGAGAACTTCTCGCCGAACTTGTACGAAAAATTCAGAGTCCCTTTAACCTTTCCATGAGACGTTCTAACGCCGTAACTAACCTTGTTTTCCTCCGTCTGACCACCGTCGCCATTGTTTTGCTCGAGTAAATTCTTAATCGGAACCTGAACTTCACCGAGGAGCGAATCGTTGAAGCTGCGATCGGCCTTGATGTGGAAGACGAGAGTCAACCGACTTTGCTGTAACGCAACTTCGTCGACGGTGAAGGACATGGCATGGCTCCAATGAGGATTGGAGCCACAATCCTTGTGGACGTTAGTTTTCTGCTTGATACAGGCAGGATCTCCATTAACGAAGACGACAGCATAAACGTCCATTTTTCCGATCAGTTGACGGTCTCGGAGATCAGTGGCCGATATCACATTGAGTTCCAGCTTCCTGCACTCCATCGTTAATCGCTTGGAATACATCACGATCGGAGAGAGGGGAGGAAGAAAGGGTAAAGAGGAGTTGGGTTTTGGAGTGGTGACGGGAGACGAAGAGGATCAAGGGTTTATTATATACAGGATGAGGGTTTTAGTTAATGCCAGGAGGAACAAAACGACGATGGTTTGCCGGTAAAACGACTTACAGTTTATTTCATGCTACGAATTTAATTACTTAATTAGTTAAACAAGATTAACGAGAGAGAGGCAATAGTAACGGCCGTATGTTTTGTGCGCGTTACGCCGTTGATGGATTCGTCGGTTAATTTAAGAAAAATATGGTTGGTTTAGTTACGGAGTTAAAAGGGATTATTACTTGTCTTAAAACTAATTCTTTTACAAAAAAAAAAAAAAAAAAAAAACAATAACGTATAATTATTTTTTTATTATTCTAAAAATTTCTCAGAAATATATATACATATAAAATTATTACTTGATATTTACCATTTTTCTAGTATTTGTAAAAAAAAAAATTTATCTAATTCTTCTCGAAACTTTTGTGTTTTACGTAATTTTTATTACAAAATTATATTATTATTAGTATTATTATTATTAGAAAAGATAATTAATTAACAAAATATATAAATTTATACTTAAAATGCAATAATAAATTCACTTTCAACAGAAGTCAAATAGAGACTACCATCCCAAGCAATGGCTTACATTTGAAAGAAGCAACTCCATAAACAGAGGTAAGAGCACAGTGTAGTTGGGCAGCTAAAGAGGAAGAGGAGGGAGGAGCAAATAAATATAATGTGGTACTATCAATATCACTACATTTTTGCACTATCCACTTTCAAAAAGAAAGAAAAAAAAAAAACTACATATATAACCAACCCCACTTTTGCTTTCACCATAGAATTTTACCATTTGGCTTCTAATTCTTTTTTGATCTTTTCAACTCAAAAAGGAAAAGAAAAAAAAAAAATCTTAGACCTCTGCAACAAGAACCCCTCCCCATCCGGATGCCATTTTTATTCACGTAAAAACGGCGAAATGGGCTGTTTTATGGGTCGTGCTAGAGAGCCAGCAGGCTCGTTAAAGAGGGTGGTAAGGCACGTAGCCTAACATGCCCGTGACATTCGATACGAGGTCATTACACCTTGTCAAGAGGCTTAGCATCTGCTGCGAAATATCAACCGTTACGGGTGGTGTCGGAGCAATTTGGGGATTAACAACGACATTTTGAGAATTTCTGGGTCCTATTGATACATCACTGTTATGATGATGATGATGATGATGATGATGATGATGAAGATGCAAGTTGTTAAGTGGGGGTTTTGGGAATTGCAGAGGAGGGAGGGTATGAAGAACAGGGGATGGAGATGGAGGAATGACCTTTTGAAAGTTGTTTCTATTAAATTCCATTGCAATAGAAGAAGAAGATGCAGCACCGTCAGCAAAACTAGGATTGTTGTTGTTGTTGTTGTTGAAGTTGTTTCTATTCAATTGATCTCCCCTATTACTTTCTTCCCCACCCAACATGAATTTTACACGGGTGGTTCCTCTATTGCCACTACCCGCAATTACCTGCCCTGAATCTTCTGCTGTTGGCTTCTTCAGGCAGGACTTGAGTTGGACAATTGCCTGCGGAATAGGCTGCGATGGGACTGCTGCAGCCAGTCGCAGTTCTACGGCTGCCTCTCGAATTCGCAAGGGGTCTGTCTGAGTGTCGTCTGCCCTGGGCTTGTTGGATTCAGGTCCTTCCTGCACAGGAGCTTCCATGGTTCGTAGGTAGGACGTCACTTCCACATTCCCAAACAAGGAAGTGTTTCCTTTGACATATTTGAATGCAGCCTCTGCATCAGCTTTGTGCCTGAACACAACACGGACAGTTGAGGATTTCCAAAATACTCGGATGGCCGACTGATCTAGTGACCTGAAACGACCAAACTTTGCCTTCAGCTCTGCTACAGAAGGAAGAGATGTACAAGGAGGGAACTTCATCACCAGCATGGTAGGCTCCACTGCAGCCCTGGCTGTAGGCTCCACAGCCACCCTGGCTGTAGGTTCCATTTTCCTTACAGGCAATGGTTTAACTGATTTCACTGGGGCGACTAAGCTGCCTTGTTCTTTTCCCTCTGCTTTTGGGGCTTCAACGAGCCTTTGACTTTGAGTGACCTTTTTCACTGTCAAGGCTTTCACCCTATCAATCTTCTTCACCCTTTTGGCTGCCATTTCTTCCTGACGATCTGATGGGAGACGCTTTCGTCCAGATTTTGTTGGGTCCTCTGTTCTCACTGCTTTTAAAGGTTTTGAATGTGTCACATCCTTCACATTGTCACTAGTAGTACCCTCCAAAGCCCCAGTAGTACAAGGAGATCTTATGGTGTGAACTTCAACAGACTCATAATCAGGTGGCGGTGAGAATACCAAGCTTTTCTGGTAAACAAGGGATCGGAAACGTAAGAAGCAGTGTCTAATGATTGCTGGCGTATTTCTTTCCACACCATAAAAGGGATCAAGGGCAATAGCTTGCAAATCACTCAATAATTGTGTAAGCTCAACAGTATTGTTTCCAATTCCTGGTGTTGGAAATGTCCCCATTGAATTAGATAAGGAATTCGAGGAGCCAACATCTTTCTTCTGGACATCTACCCAAGAATCCTCTCTAGGAGCAGAACTGAACTGGTTAGATTTACCAGCCATACTCCCCATGGTAGCACCATTTCCAGAGGCTAAACTCTTCTTCTGCAGTGGATAATCAGAGTTTAGTTCTAATCCACAGTCTTTCTTCTTTTTCTTTTTCTTCTGCTCCAAAAAAGCAGAGTTTTCATATATCAAGTCCCCAAATGGCCGTTTAGGTGCACTCTCCTTTTTTACTCCAACATCAGCGCTCACTTCACCAGACTGCTTTTCTCCAATTGATAAAGGATGCAAACCCATGCAACCACCTCTTATTTGGTCCAATCCCTGGCCATATTCTACGTTTCCAGAAGAATGCTGATAGCCTTCAGTTGACCTGAACAATTTTCCAATCTCCCCATAGTTATAGGAAACCATAGCTACACCTCCATTCCCAGGCATCTCAAGTGAACCTCCAATTGGCGGGCCCACATCCATGTCCAGTGCCATTCTCTCTTTTTTAACTTCATCCATGGCCCAATTCTCTGTGTCAACAGAAAGCTTTGCTTCAGGGGAAGCACTCTGGGTAGAGAAATTACTATATGCTAAGGCATGATCTACAGTTTGAATTTCATTAATAGGATTATAACTGCTTATATCAGCACCATCCTTGCTGGAATACCCAGCCTGTTCATGTCTAACTGGAATTTGACATGCTGGCGCCCTCTTCTGCAACACATAATCCCCAGTCGAGGGTCCTTCCACATAAGCTGGTGGGGATGATAAATTTAATTGCCCCTGGTCTAACTGATCTGTACTCAGGTAACTTGGTTCATCCCTTCGCTTAAAAAGATATCTGTCCCTTTTTAAGTTTTCCTTAACTTTCATAGATTTTTTAGAGCTCTTCCCACTACCCAGAGCTTCTGCAATGACGAGTGGACCACTCAAAGGAGCTGCAGAAGGTGATAAACCCATTAGAACATAAGATGGAAGCATCACTTTTTAGAAATCTACTTGTCATTAAACTAATAAATGGGCCTTCATCTATCAGTGTAATCTTATAAGACTCAAATGAAGACAATAAGATGGCATCAACTAGATATTTTACATTTGAAACAAAGAAAACAAAAATCGAAAAAACCACTTGTAGCCTATCAAGAGTAAGATCATATAACTTTATTCAATGCCTTAACGGATATGTCTGCTCCAGATAATTGATAAATGTCACAATCAGAGGGGTTCTTAAATGCAAAGATCTCATCCAACATGTCTTCTGAAAATGTAAAATTGAGAATATATAGCAAAGATCAACAACATAATGGCATAAAGATTGCCAGACAATCACTAGATACCTTCATGCAACATTTAAGTAAAGAGTCATATAAAATGTTAGAAAATAATGACTGATATTGCTTGGTTATAGAGGTAATCACTAAATATCTTCACGCAACACTTCAGCATTAAAGTCAGAAAATGACAAAAAAGAATTACTAGCATCACTTAAGCGCAGAGTTGCTTCAATTCAATTATCTATATGTCAATTAGATGCTACTCTTAAGAATTCTAATTTCCTATATGTGCTCATAAGCAAGAACCAGTCCAGATCTGGTGAGCCTTTAAACCTTAATCCTACAGTACTAAGCAACAGTTACCCAAATTCCATGGAGATAAAGGAAAAAGCAGTAATGATGAGATCTTTTCTTTTAAGATATCTGTGGTTGTGCATTGACCCTTTACTGAAAATCCAGAAAATTTTATCTCCCTGAGATATTTAATAATGTTTAAGGTTTGAATAAAAAGCAAATCATAGCTGGCTGCGGCAGGGTAACCAAGCATTAAAGCAATAAACAAAGATCAGTTTAGTGCAATCATACCTCGAGATGGTTGTTTAACCAGTTGATCTGGTACATTAACCGAAGGCCGTGAAGGCTGTACCCCAAAAGCCTGTGCATACGTCTCATCATACTCTTCAAAAAGTGCCTTACGAAGTGAAAATACTGTAGCCTTATTTTAACAAA